CTGGGCTAAAACCTAGGTCTCGGTCCGGTAGAAGCGAACTCCAGCGCGGTTCGAGTGCAGTGTGAATGTAAACAGACCGAGCCCCGCTCCGCAGGACAAACAAACACGCATTTCTCTGACCTTATATGGAGCCGTCAGCTGCCTTGTGTGGAAAAACAATATTCTCCATGGTCTTCTGTCTCATCTTCTGCTCATGCTAAGTCCATTTTTGAAAAATGACAAAATATAACTCCTAAAACTGCTAAAACTTGATGCCACTTCGTTTTTATTTTTATTTACAGAAGAAGAAGAAGAGTGTCTTCAGAGGTTTTTGTGTCGTTTCTTTCAGTAGTTCTTGGTGCAGCGCCCCCACAGGCGAGCGGGGGAACAGGTTGGTTCAACAGGTTGACTGACTGCACAGTGCAGTGTGAATGCAAACTCACCAGCTCAAATGTAAACAAAAGCTCATGAATGTTGGTCCCGAACCGAGTCTACCTGACTATCTGGTGTGAAAACGACCTAAGAGCTACAAGTAAACCTGCAGTCTTAGAGTGAAGTGCTCTGTTATGAAAATATGGAACAATAAGATGGAGCTAGGTTGTTGAGAGCTTTGTAGGTTAGAAGAGTTTGAATTCAATTCTGAATATATATATATATATATATATATATATATATAGATATATAGATAGATAGATAGATAGATAGATAGATAGATAGATAGAGTTTATAAATAAGATGATATAAAATAGAAATGTCCACAATGGGTCCAGACTCGACAGGACCCAGGACAGTGTTTCTCCTCCCTCCTCTATAATTAAATCATATTTGCTTCTGCAGCACAGCACCACATGTTCCCATCTGTATTCAAGGGACCCCCCCCCCCCATATATATATATATATATATATATATATATATATGAATAATCTTTTTAAATTGCACCCGTGATGTAAAAAGATAATGAGATCATGGTCGTCTGCATATCGCGTTTCGAGGAGAGGAGGCTGCCGCCACCTGATGAGACTAGTCTGTTCCGTGTGGACGTTTCTGTCGTGATTTTACACATAATATATTTAACAAAACTCTGGGGGACCGTTTGGAAAAGATGTGACGTAATGGACGTAGTTTTCACCGAGGAGAGGAAGACGCGCGAGGCAGCTAGCAAAATAAATAAATAAATCAAAATACGACGCCGTCCAAGAAACGTTTACGTTACCTGAGACCACCAGCGCCTCGTTTGGTCCAACGGTGTGGCAGTTTCCCATTTTACCGACACTGAGAGAACGTGAAACACGCCTGGTCAAAGCATAAAACAAGGAGTTTTATTTCGGAGCTTCCGTTGATCTCTTTAAACACGAACTCCCACCACACCCCTACTGACTGACTTCTTTTCAAAATGGAGAGCGGACACTACGGTGGCACTTTCAAAATAAAAGTAACATTTTCAGTGCGCGTTTATTCAAAATGACAAAATGCTGTCTTTCTTCTTGTTTTCTCACACTTGACTCACTAAAAATACAGCTACCCAGTCGTTTCTTTGCTGCCCCACCTTCCTAGCCCATGTTTACTAACTATCCATCATGGGTTTTCTCGACTACGGTCTAGCCAGTCCTCACGCAATTTCGTTGTGCGCGCACACACCATGCATTACGGTAGTATTGTTTACACGATGCTTTCAAAGTAAAGCTGTCTTCTGAATCCTAAGACTTGAGAGACCGCTGATTTCCTCCATGTAACATGAACATGGAAACACCACACAGAAAGAAACTACAGCTTCGCCGGGAGGGCCCTCGGCAGAGGTTGCGACACTCTTTGAGCCCGCCGATACGCGGTCACGTGCTTCATGCAGCTGTCAATAGTTCCAAACAGAAGAATCAGAATCAGTTTATTATCGCCATGTCAATGAACGAGGTTCACAAACTAGGAATTTGCGTCGACATAAGGTGCGAATAGTAGTAAAGTAAAATAAAGTAAAAATTAAGTAAAAATTAAGTAAAAATGAGAACATTACATAAGACATAAGCCTGTGTACACCCACAAATAAAGTAAAATTAAAACCATAACATAACCATATGTACACCCATACAATAGAAAACAATAAAAAAGCTTAGAAAACAGTACAGACGGAGTATTCAGTTATAATACAGATGTAATGTGACCAAAGCAGACATTATGAGGTAGCATTATGAGTGTTCAGGAGTCCAACAGCAGAGGGGAAGAAACTGTTCTTATGGCGGGAAGTTCTGGTCCGAATGGACCGAAGCCTTCTGCCTGAGGGGAGTGGTTCAAACAGTCCGTGTGCAGGGTGAGCAGGGTCAGCTGTGATCCGACCTGCTCGCCTCACAGTCCTGGAGACGTACAGGTCGTGGAGGGATGGAAGGCTGCAGCCGATCACCTTCTCAGCTGAGCGCACAACGCGCTGCAGTCTGAGTCTGTCCCTGGCAGTGGCCCTGGCGTACCACACCGTGATGGAGGAGCTGAGGATGGACTCGATGATGGCCGTGTAGAACTGCACCATCAGCTTGGCCGGCAGCTTGGCCTTCTTCAGCTGTCGCAGGAAGTACAGTCTCTGCTGGGCCTTCTTGATGAGGGAGCTGATGGTTGGCTCCCACTTGAGGTCCTGGGTGATGGTGGTGCCGAGGAACCGATACGAATTTGCAGTGGTGATGGGGGTATCATTACAGGTGAGGGGGGGCAGAGGGGCTGTGGCTTTCCTGAAATCCACAATCATCTCCACTGTCTGGGCATTGAGTTCCAGGTTGTTGCTGCTGCACCAGGTCACCAGCCGGTCCACCTCCCTCCTGTATGCAGACTCATCACCGTCTGAGATGAGCCCGATGAGGGTGGTGTCATCTGCAAACTTAATAAGTTTCACAGAGTCATGGCTGGAGGTGCAGCAGTTGGTGTACAGGGAGAAAAGCAGGAAGGAAAGCACACAGCCCTGTGGAGATCCTGTGCTTATAGTCCGAGTGTCCGAGACAGCTCTCCCCAGCCGCACGCACTGACTCCGGTCTGTCAGGAAGTCTGTGATCCACCTGCAGGTGGAGTCAGGTACATGGAGCAGGGAGAGCTTGTCTTGGAGCAGAGCAGGGAGGATGGTGTTAAATGCGGAGCTGAAGTCCACGAACAGGATCCTGGCGTAGGTTCCTGGGGAGTCCAGGTGCTGCAGGATGAAGTGAAGAGCCAGGTTTATTGCGTCATCTACAGACCTGTTGGCCCTGTAGGCAAACTGCAGGGGGGGGTTGGTGATGGACTTGAGGTGAGATGAAACCAAGCGTTCAAAGGTTTTCATGACTACAGACGTGAGAGCTACAGGTCTGTAGTCATTTGGTCCTGTGACACGTGGCTTCTTGGGGACAGGGACGATGATGGAGGACTTGAAACAGGCTGGGACGTGGCATGACTCCAGTGAAGAGTTGAAGATCCCTGTGAAGACTGGAGCCAACTCTCCAGCACAATGTCTCAGCGTGGAGGGTGACACAAGGTCTGGGCCTGCAGCCTTATGTGTATTCAGCCTTTTAAAAAGCCTCCTTACTTCATCCTCTTGTACAGAGATAGCAGGGGGTAACATGTAACATGAACATGGAAACACCACACAGAAAGAAACTACAGCTTCGCCGGGAGGGCCCTCGGCAGAGGTTGCGACACTCTTTGAGCCCGCCGATACGCGGTCACGTGCTTCATGCAGCTGTCAATAGTTCCAAACAGCTCATCGCTGTCAGTCAGTTTGAGCGGCTGCTGGCGCTACACAACACAAAAATCAACTTTTCTTAATTTACCTGACGTCTTTCAGTAATTATTGAGCAGTAACGAACTGATTATTGATTATTTCACAAACTATGCATTTTATCAAAGCATTTTTAGAAGCAGCTGATACGTTTATCAATAAATTTTAGAAGGGAACGAGTCTGCAAGCACATATTTGTTAGAATTTTTTTTATATGCAATACATTGATCAATATAGCCATGTCAGTGTTTTATAACGTTACACACGATAACTAAAAGATCAGAGTAACACCTGTTATAAAGCTATTTCTGATGTTCTCTGCATAAGAATGCTCCACCTTGTCCTCCATGCAGTTCAGATCTGCTCCAGCTTACCTTAGATCATCTGGATGAATTCTTGATTTCTATAGAAGATATTCAACCTTTATTTAAACAGGTTTGTCCCATTGAGCCACGAGGACTCATTTACAAGAGAGACCTCAATATAATTGTTGTATTTGTCGTTTTTTTTTATTTTTTTTTATGGCAACCAAGTTCCTGGATAACTGAGTTGATTGTAGCCTGACAACTATTGTAAAATTGTAATTCATTGATTAAAATGTTAATTTAAATGAAACTGTAGAATCATAACAGATGACAAAATAAGTGTTAATTGTGCAAAAATAAATTTCCAAACAATTTATTATAAAATATGTAAAATGTAAAACAAGCAATAAAGTACTTTTACTGCCATTTATAGTGTTTATTGATGACATCATCTCAAGTCAGCCAGCAGGAGCACCATCATCATCATCATCATCACAACAACACAAAGTGAGAGCTGTAAATTTAATCTGCACAAACATTTTCAATCAGGGCTCAAAATGTTTAACTGTCAAAGAAATGTGCAAGAAAATAAACTACTGTCACTCTACAGGCACATTTAGAGAGAGGACAGTTTACAGAGACACAGTCAGGACGTGTGAGACTGAAGGAAGTTCAACCATTTGTTCATGGACCAGAACCAAATGAGAAGAACAGCAGAACTTCCACTGCATGTTGATCCATTGACCAGTGATCTGACCAGTGATCACACATGTTGTTCTAAATTAAACTTTGGTACGAACAGAGATGATAAACCTGAGGGAACAATTAGAACACAAAAAAATACATAAGCAGGATAGAAGAAACTCACAGATAAGAAAATTAACGCAGTCCTGCCAAGAAAAATGTTAACAATGGAAAAGAAATTCTGACATATTTTTACAAAAGATCAGATGAAGACAACTGGCATGAAGAATAACTTCCAGCTCCATCTCAACCTGTGATAGTTTAATAAGTTGTTTTGTTACTGTTCTACAGTTTATTGATGCTGATATATTCTTGGTAATAATTCTTATGTCTTGTTCTGTCTTGAAAGAGAGTGTCATCTCAACTTGACCCATGATTACCATACGCTAAACTAATAATATAAAACAACTGTAAATGAACAGTCCTGCAGTAAATACCAACTTTGTGAAGGATATGGTGTTAAAGTAATCTTATTCAAACATCTTGATTAAGCTGTTATTGTTTTGGGACGACAGAAAATGAGATCTTGAACCTTTGTGATACTTTGAATGCAACATTCAGTTCACTCAAGTCATTATCCTGTGGTTTACCTGGAAAACATGAAAAAAATGGACTCATCTCCACAATCATGTTTTTCTTTAATGATAATGTCACAATTTATACTGCAGTCTTTGACAAATGATCTATAACTTTAACTAAATTATGGCAATCTTGTTGTTATGTTGTCATCATTCCTTGCTGAAATCAGGTCTCTCTTGTAAATGAGTCCTCGAGGCTCAATGGGATTTACCTGTCTAAATAAAGGTTGAATGAATCTCTCAGGAAAAAAAGGCCAAATATTTTCTAGTTGAGTTCAGTAACTGGAATTACCATAAATTAAAAAAAGACCACCTTTCAAAATTTAAGCAGTAATAGATGTTTTAAAATGTTGAATTAGACAGAAATAGACCCGTTTAAACCGTCATGCTGCAGAGCAGCTGCAGTTAAAACACAACTAGTAATTTAACATGTTTCATTAACTAAAACTGGCGACATGAAGTATTAATGTTGATAAATTGTGGTACAGAACAGTCAGATAACGCTTCAAAATGGCAAAAAAGTGTCGCATTTGCATCATCTTACCGGAGAAAACATGGAGAATGAACTACGTTCAATGCTGGAACCGCTGCTGTTTGGAACTATTTGCCGCTGCATGACCCACGTGACTTCCGCATTCCATTCTTTCTATGGGAGTCTATGGGAGTGTCGCAAACATAGATATCATATGACTAGATACAGCATTGACCGCTATCGCCATAGATATCATATATGACTAGTGTTGGATTTAATGTTTTATCTTTTATTATTTCTGAAATTTCAGGTTATATCATGTGCGTGGGTGTCGTTTTTCTTTAGAGTTTCCTCACAATCAGTTAAATGTTAATCAATTAATTTGCATGAGTATCCACTTTATATATATAATCTCACCCTAGTTAGGGTCAATCTTATAGATTTACAATCTTAGAAATTTACATTTTGATATATTTACAAGCGAATCACAACGGGGCCATGACAGGTAAGATACTGTTTACTTACAGCAGGACGGTTGCTGTACTGAGAG